CAGTTCCCTCAGGAGGAAGGGTAGAGTGACTTCAGTTCCCCAGGAGGAAGGATAGGTGACTTCAGTTCCCTCAGGAGGAAGGGATAGGTGACTTCAGTCCCTCAGGAGGAAGGGAAGGTGACTTCAGTTCCCTCAGGAGGAAGGGATAGGTGACTTCAGTTCCCTCAGGAGGAAGGGATAGGTGACTTCAGTTCCCTCAGGAGGAGGGAAGGTGACTCGTTCCCCGGAGGAAGGGTAGGTGACTTCAGTTCCTCGGAGGAAGGGAAAGTTAAACTTCAGTTCCCTCGGAGGAAGGGATAGGTGACTTCGTTCCCTCAGGAGGAAGGGATAGGTGACTTCAGTTCCCTCAGGGGAAGGGATAGGTGACTTCAGTTCCCTCAGGAGGAAGGGATAGGTGACTTCAGTTCCCTCAGGAGGAAGGGATAGGTGACTTCAGTTCCCTCAGGGGGAAAGGGGATAGGTGACTTCAGTTCCCTCAGGGGGAAAGGGGATAGGTGACTTCATTTTCCCTCGGGGGAAAGGGAAATAGGTGACTTCATTTTCCCTCAGGAGGAAGGATAGGGGGACTTCAGTTCCCTCAGGAGGAAGGGATAGGTGATTCAGTTCCCTCAGGAGGAAGGATAGGTGACTTCAGTTCCCTCAGGAAAGGGATAGGTGACTTCAGTTCCCTCAGGGGGAAAGGGGATGGGGTGACTTCAGTTCCCTCAGGAGGAAGGGATAGGTGACTTCAGTTCCCTCAGGAGGAAGGGATAGATGACTTCAGTTCCCTCAGGAGGAAGGGATAGGTGACTTCAGTTCCCTCAGGAGGAAGGGATAGGTGACTTCAGTTCCCTCAGGAGGAAGGGATAGGTGACTTCAGTTCCCTCGGGAAAGGAAGGGATGGGTGACTTCAGTTCCCTCAGGAGGAAGGGATAGGTGACTTCAGTTCCCTCAGGAGGAAGGGATAGGTGACTTCAGTTCCCTCAGGGGGAAAAGGGATAGGTGACTTCAGTTCCCTCAGGGGAAGGGATAGGTGATTTCATTTTCCTCAGGGGAAGGGATAGGTGACTTCAGTTCCCTCAGGAGGGGAAGGGATAGGGGGCTTCAGTTCCCTCAGGAGGAAGGGATAGGTGACTTCAGTTCCCTCAGGAGGAAGGGATATGTGACTTCAGTTCCCTCAGGGGGGAAGGGATAGGTGACTTCAGTTCCCCAGGGGGAAAGGGGAGGGTGGCTTCAGTTCCCTCAGGAGGAAGGGATAGGTGACTTCAGTTCCCTCAGGAGGAAGGGATAGGTGACTTCAGTTCCCTCAGGAGGGATAGGTGACTTCAGTTCCCTCAGGGGGAAGGGAAGGTGTTTCCCGTTCCCTCAAGGAAGGGAAAGGTGAAGCCTAGGTAGACTTCAGTTCCCTCAGGAGGAAGGGATAGGTGACTTCATTCCCTCAGGAGGGGGATAGGTGACTTCAGTTCCTCAGGAGGAGGATAGGTGACTTCAGTTCCCTCAGGAGGAAGGGATAGGTGACTTCAGTTCCCTCAGGAGGAAGGGATAGTGACTTCATTCCCTCAGGGGGAAAGGGGATAGGTGACTTCAGTTCCCTCAGGAGGAAGGGATAGGTGACTTCAGTTCCCTCAGGAGGAAGGGATAGGTGACTTCAGTTCCCTCAGGAGGAAGGGATAGGTGACTTCAGTTCCCTCAGGAGGAAGGGATAGGTGACTTCAGTTCCCTCAGGAGGAAGGGATAGGTGACTTCATTTCCCCTCAGGAGGAAGGGATAGGTGACTTCATTTTCCCTCAGGAGGAAGGGATAGGTGACTTCAGTTCCCTCAGGAGGAAGGGATAGGTGACTTCAGTTCCCTCAGGAGGAAGGGATAGGTGACTTCAGTTCCCTCAGAAGGAAGGGATAGGTGACTTCAGTTCCCTCAGGAGGAAGGGATAGGTGACTTCATTTCCCTCAGGAGGAAGGGATAGTTGATTCAGTTCCCTCAGGAGGAAGGGAAGGGGGACTTCATTTTCCCTCAGGAGGAAGGGATAGGTGACTTCAGTTCCCTCAGGAGGAAGGGATAGGTGACTTCGTTCCCTCAGGAGGAAGGGAAAAGGTGACTTCAGTTCCCTTCAGGAGGAAGGGATATTTGACTTCAGTTCCCTCAGGAGGAAGGGATAGGTGACTTCAGTTCCCTCAGGAGGAAGGGATAGGTGACTTCAGTTCCCTCAGGAGGAAGGGATAGGTGACTTCATTTCCCCTCAGGAGGAAGGGAAGGTGCCCTTCAGTTCCCTCAGGAGGAAGGGATAGGTGACTTCATTCCCTAAAGAGGAAGGGAAGGTAACTTCAGTTCCTCAGGGGGAAAGGGATAGGGCTTCATTTTCCCTCAGGAGGAAGGGATAGGTGATTCAGTTCCCCCCAGGAGGAAGGGAGAGGTGACTTCAGTTCCCTCAGGAGGAAGGGATAGGTGACTTCATTTCCCCTAAAGGAGGAAGGGATAGGTGACTTCATTCCCTCGGGAGGAAAGGGGGAAGGTGCTTCAGTTCCCTCAGGAGGAAGGGAAGGTGACTTCAGTTCCCTCAGGAGGAAGGGATAGGTGACTTCAGTTCCCTCAGGGGAAAGGGAAGGTGACTTCAGTTCCCTCAGGAGGAAGGGAAGGGGGCTTCAGTTCCCTCAGGAGGAAGGGATAGGTGACTTCAGTTCCCTCAGGAGGAAGGGAAGGGGGAATTCAGTTCCCTCAGGAGGAAGGGATAGGTGACTTCATTTCCCCTAAAGAGGAAAGGGATAGGTGACTTCAGTTCCCTCAGGAGGAAGGGAAGGGGGCTTCAGTTCCCTCAGGAGGAAGGGATAGGTGACTTTCAGTTCCTCAGGAGGAAGGGATAGGTGACTTCAGTTCCCTCAGGAGGAAGGGATAGGTGACTTCAGTTCCCTCAGGAGGAAGGGATAGTGACTTCATTTTCCCCTCAGGAGGAAGGGATAGGTGACTTCAGTTCCTCAGAAGGAAGGGATAGGTGACTTCAGTTCCCTCAGGAGGAAGGGATAGGTGACTTCAGTTCCCTAGGAGGAAGGGATGGGTGACTTCAGTTCCCTCAGAAAGGGATAGGTGACTTCAGTTCCCTCAGGAGGAAGGATAGGTGACTTCAGTTCCCTCATGGAAAGGGATAGGTGACTTCAGTTCCCTCAGGAGGAGGATAGGTGACTTCAGTTCCCCCCAGGAGGGATAGGGATTAGGGGAAAAATATCAGTTCCCTCAGGAAAGGGATAGGTGACTTCAGTTCCCTCGGGAGGAAGGGATGGGTGACTTCATTCCCTCAGGAGGAAGGGATAGGTGACTTCAGTTCCCTCAGGAGGAAGGGATAGTGATTCAGTTCCCCTCAGGAGAAGGGATAGGTGACTTCAGTTCCCTCAGGGGGAAAGGGGATAGTTGACTTCAGTTCCCTCAGGAGGAAGGGATAGGTGACTTCAGTTCCCTCAGGAGGAAGGGATAGGTGACTTCAGTTCCCTCAGGAGGAAGGGATAGGTGACTTCAGTTCCCTCAGGAGGAAGGGATATGTGACTTCAGTTCCCTCAGGAGGAAGGGATAGGTGACTTCATTTTCCCTAGGAGGAAGGGATAGGTGACTTCAGTTCCCTCAGGAGGAAGGGATAGGTGACTTCAGTTCCCTCAGGAGGAAGGGAGAGGTGGCTTCAGTTCCCTCAGGAGGAAGGGATAGGTGACTTCAGTTCCCTCAGGAGGAAGGGATAGGTGACTTCAGTTCCCTCAGGAGGAAGGGATAGGTGACTTCAGTTCCCTCAGGAGGAAGGGATAGGTGACTTCAGTTCCCTCAGGAGGAAGGGAGAGGTGACTTCAGTTCCCTCAGGAGGAAGGGATAGGTGACTTCATTTCCCCTCAGGAGGAAGGGATAGGACTTCATTTTCCCTCAGGAGGAAGGGATGGGTGGCTTCAGTTCCTCAGGAGGAAGGGATAGGTGACTTCATTTCCCCCTCAGGGGGAAGGGAAAAGGTGACTTCAGTTCCCTCAGGAGGAAGGGATAGGTGACTTCAGTTCCCTCAGGAGGAAGGGATGGGTGACTTCAGTTCCCTCGGGAGGAAGGGATAGGGACTTCAGTTCCCTCAGGAGAAGGGTTTAGGTGACTTCAGTTCCTCAGGGGAAGGGATAGGTGACTTCAGTTCCCTCAGGAGGAAGGGCACGTGACTTCAGTTCCCTCAGGAGGAAGGATAGGTGACTTCAGTTCCCTCAGGAGGAAGGGATAGGTGACTTCATTTCCCCTCAGGAGGAAGGGATTGGGTGACTTCAGTTCCCTCAGGGGGGAAGGGATAGTTGACTTAAGTTCCCTCAGGAGGAAGGGATAGGTGACTTCAGTTCCCTCAGGAGGAAGGGATAGGTTGACTTCAGTTCCCTCAGGAGGAAGGTAAAAGGTGACTTCAGTTCCCTCATGGAGGAAGGGATAGGTGACTTTCAGTTCCCTCAGGAGGAAGGGATAGGTGATTCAGTTCCCCAGGAGGAAGGGATAGGTGACTTCAGTTCCCTCGGGAAAAGGGGATAGGTGACTTCAGTTCCCTCAGGAGGAAGGGATAGGTGACTCAGTTCCCCCCAGGAGGAAGGGATAGGTGACTTCAGTTCCCTCAGGGGGAAAGGGATAGGTGACTTCAGTTCCCTCAGGAGGAAGGGATAGGTGACTTCAGTTCCCTCAGGAGGAAGGGATAGGTGACTTCAGTTCCCTCAGGAGGAAGGGATAGGTGACTTCAGTTCCACAGGAGGAAGGGATAGGTGACTTCAGTTCCCCAGGAGGAGGGATAGGGGGACTTCATTTCCCCCTCAGGAGGAAGGGATAGGGGACTTCAGTTCCCTCAGGAGGAAGGGATAGGTGACTTCAGTTCCCTCAGGAGGAAGGGATAGGTGACTTCAGTTCCCTCAGGAGGAAGGGATAGGTGACTTCAGTTCCCTCAGGAGGAAGGGATAGGTGACTTCAGTTCCCTCAGGAGGAAGGGATAGGTGACTTCAGTTCCCTCAGGAGGAAGGATAGGTGACTTCATTTTCCCTCAGGAGGAAGGGATAGGTGACTTCAGTTCCCTCAGGAGGAAGGGAGAGGTGACTTCAGTTCCCTCAGGAGGAAGGGATAGGTGACTTCAGTTCCCTCACGAGGAAGGGATAGGCGACTTCAGTTCCCTCACGAGGAAGGGATAGGTGACTTTAGTAACCTAAGGAGGAAGGGATAGGTGACTTCAATTCCCTAAGGAGGAAGGGATAGGTGACTTCAGTTCCCTCAGGAGGAAGGGATAGGTGACTTCAGTTCCCTCAGGAGGAAGGGATAGGTGACTTCAGTTCACTCAGGAGGAAGGGATAGGTGACTTCAGTTCCCTCAGGAAGAAGAGATAGGTGACTTCAGTCCCCTCAGGAGGAATAGATAGGTGACTTCAGTTCCCTCAGGAGGAAGGGATAGGTCACTTCAGTTCACTCAGGAGGAAGGGATAGGTGACTTCAGTTCCCTCATGATTAAGGGATAGGTGACTTCAGTTCCCTCAAGAGGAAAGGATCGGTGACTTCAGTTCCCTCAGGATGAAGGGATAGGTGACTTCAGTTCACTCAGGAAGGGATAGGTGACTTCAGTTCCCTCAGGATTAAGGGATAAGTGACTTCAGTTCCCTCAAGAGGAAAGGATCGGTGACTTCAGTTCCCTCAGGAGGAAGGGATAGGTGACTTCAGTTCACTCAGGAAGGGATAGGTGACTTCAGTTCCCTCAGGATTATGGGATAGGTGACTTCAGTTCCCTCAGGAGGAAGGGATAGGTGACTTTAGGTGTTGTATAACGAATAGGTGACTTCATGTTCGGAAGAATAGCGGATAGGTGACTTCAGGTGCTGAAGAATGACGGATAGGTGACTTCAGGTGCTGAAGAATGACGGATACGTGACTTCAGGTGCTGAAGAATGACGGATACGTGACTTCAGGTGCTGAAGAATGACGGATAGGTGACTTCAGGTGCTGAAAAATGACGGATACGTGACTTCAGGTGCTGAAGAATGACAGATAGGCGACTTCAGGTGCTGAAGAATGACGGATAGGTGACTTCAGGCTCTCTACACTAGACACGAGAGATAGTCGGCTTCAGTCGTCCCATATGAAGAGCATTGTGGCTTCAGGTGCTCAAAGTCGGGGATGGGGGGGGTGGAAACACGTAACTTCAGGTTTGCCTCCTCCACTCCGTTGACAGTCATTTCAGTCTTGCTGCTCCTGAAGTCGTTGAAGGTGGGGCTGAAGGGTAGGTACCTCAGCCATTTGATTCTGAAATATCAAGTCAGGTAATTTACAAGCAGTGTGTATTAGTGGGGACTTTTGTGGGGGGGTTATAACCCCTGTTTGAGGGATCATGGCCCCTACTGGGGGATCATGGCCCCTACTGGGGGATCATGGCCCCTACTGGGGGATCATGGCCCCTACTGAGGGATCATGGCCCCTATTGGGGATCATGGCCCCTACTTGGGGATCATGGCCTCTACTGGGGGATCATGGCCCCTATTGGGGATCATGCCCCTACTGGGGGATCATGGTCTTTATTGAGGGATCATGGCCCCTATCGGGGGATTATACCCTCTTGTGGGGGATTATAACGTCTTTTATGGGGGATTATAACCTCTTTTGTGGGGATTATAATCTCTTTTGTGGGAGGATTATAACCTCTTTTGTGGGGGGATTATAACCTCTTTTGTGGGGGATTATAACCTCTTTTATGGGAAGATTATAACCTCTTGTGGGGGGATTATAACCTCTTTTGTGGGCGATTATAACCTCTTTTATGGGAAGATTATAACCTCTTGTGGGGGGATTATAACCTCTTTTGTGGGCGATTATAACCTCTTTTGCAGGGGATTATAATCTCTTTTGTGGGAGGATTACAACCTCTTTTGTGGGGGGGATTATAACCTCTTTTGTGGGCGATTATAACCTCTTTTATGGGAAGATTATAACCTCTTGTGGGGGGATTATAACCTCTTTTGTGGGCGATTATAACCTCTTTTGCAGGGGATTATAATCTCTTTTGTGGGAGGATTACAACCTCTTTTGTGGGGGGGATTATAACCTCTTTTGTGGGCGATTATAACCTCTTTTGCAGGGGATTATAACCTCTTTTGTGGGGGATTATAACCTCTTGTGGGAAGATTATAACGTCTTTTGTGGGGGGATTATAACCTCTTTTGTGGGGGGATTATAACCTCTTTTGTGGGGGGATTATAACCTCTTTTGTGGGGGATTATAACCTCTTTTGTGGGGGATTATAACCTCTTGTGGGAAGATTATAACGTCTTTTGTGGGGGATTATAACGTCTTTTGTGGGGGGATTATAACCTCTTTTGTGGGGGGATTATAACCTCTTTTGTGGGGGGATTATAACCTCTTATGTAGGTTTTCCAGTTAGAGATTTCCTGATTTTTTTTTCTTTTCTTTTTTTTTTTTTGCGCGTGGGAGATTTTGAAAGATTTTTGTTAATATATTTAGTTGTTGTTTATCTTCAATCCATTGTCCTTTGACCCGGCCATGTCCTTCCTCTGACCTTTTTACCTGGCAATGGCCCTTCCACTGACCTTTGACCTGGCTATGGCCCTTCCACTGACCTTTTTACCTGGCTATGGCCCTGACACCCACCTTGAGATGACCTTCATGCCGAAGGGCATGTCGTAGCTGGAAGACGGGTGGCAGCAGCCTGAGTCAGGGTCCTGCGGAAGGTATCCATCCTGCTGGCGGTAATGCTTGTTCCAGCCCAGGAGACCGCGCTCCTTGGCCGTACCTGCAAATGTAACCACTTGATATAACGATACAGAGAGTTTCTCTCACAATAATTATATACGAGGAAACCTACAGTAATCTGAAACTGTAATCTGAAACTGTAATCTGAAACAGTAGTCTGAAACAACAAACTGAAACTGTAATCTGATACAGTAATCTGAAACTGTAGTCTGAAACAGTAATCTGAAACTGTACTCTGAAACAGTAATCTGAAACTGTAATCTGAAACAGTAATCTGAAACTGTAATCTGAAACAGTAATCTGAAACTGTAATCTGAAACAGTAATCTGAAACTCTAATCTGAAACAGTAATCTGAAACTCTAATCTGAAACAGTAATCTGAAACTAATCTGAAACAGTAATCTGAAACTGTAATCTGAAACTGTAATCTGAAACAGTAATCTGAAACTGTAATCTGAAACAGTAATCTGAAACTATAATCTGAAACAGTAATCTTGTGATGTTCAGCTGGGCTTGTGAGGTCTCTGGGGAGATCTAATTTAATCAATTATATGGCCACCTTGCCTTGGCAAATGTCTGTCAGAGCCACGCCTTTTCGGCTTAAGGCTCAGCTCCTTTGTTCGTCACTGGCGTCAGATCTCTGCGTAAGGTCGTACACGTGGTGCACACCTCATTGTGGAGGGTGCTGGACCACCATATAAGCCCAGGGAACAGCTGAGCAGAAGAGATTCGTGCGGAGCTCTGGCCTGGGTGCAGAGCTCTGAGTAGAGAGATTCGAGAGGAGCTGCTGCTGGGCTGCAGGGCTCGGGAGAAGGCTGCTGAAGTCTCTGGAGGAGACTGGGCAGAGTACTGGCTTGGAGCAGTACTGGTGCTGTATAGGTCTTGGGACCTGTGGTGAACTGTCCTCTGAACTATATTGTAAGTTATATTCTGTTTCGCCAAGTTGATTGTATTCCCTGTCTCACTGCTTATGTGTACCATCCCATTTGTCTAAACCACAATAATGTTCTCCTGTTCCCAAATATATTATTGTACAAGGACTTAATAATAAACTGTGTTTGAGTAGAATAGTAACATTCACTGTCCCCGTTATTTACTCATTTCTCCATTTATTTATGTTTAGTTAAAGTAGTGAGAGGGTGAGTAGTGTGGTGGGTAGAGTAATGAGAGGTGAAGGTGTAGTCACCAGTGACCTCACATTACCTACCTCCGCCGCGCGTCACTTACCTCCGCTAATCATCTCTCCTACCACCTCGCCTGCCTCTCCCCTGCCTATACATACTCCCTTACTCCCATATCCCCACTTATATCCTTGACGTTCCATTACTCCCCTACATGACAATCTGAAACTGTAATCTGAAACTAATCTGAAACTGTAGTCTGAAACAGTAATCTGAAACTTTAATCTGAAACAGTAATCTGAAACTGTAATCTGAAATTGTAATCTGAAACAGTAATCTGATACAGTAATCTGAAACTGTAGTCTGATACAGTAATCTGAAACTGTAATCTGAAACTGTAATCTGAAACAGCAATCTGAAACTGTAGTCTGAAATTGTAATCTGAAACTGTAATCTGAAACAGTAATCTGAAACTGTAGTCTGAAACTGTAATCTGAAGCTGTAATCTGAAACAGTAATCTGAAACTGTAGTCTGAAACTGTAATCTGAAACAGTAATCTGATACAGTAATCTGAAACTGTTGTCTGATACAGTAATCTGAAACAGTAATCTGATACAGTAATCTGAAACTGTTGTCTGATACAGTAATCTGAAACTGTAATCTGAAACTGTAGTCTGAAACCGTAATCTGAAATTGTAATCTGATACAGTAATCTGAAACTGTAGTCTGATACAGTAATCTGAAACTGTAATCTGAAACTGTAGTCTGATACAGTAATCTGAAACTGTAATCTGAAACTGTAATCTGAAACTAATCTGAAACTGTTGTCTGATACAGTAATCTGAAACTGTAATCTGAAACTGTAATCTGAAACAGTAATCTGAAACTGTAATCTGAAACAGTAATCTGAAACTCTAGTCTGAAACCGTAATCTGAAATTGTAATCTGATACAGTAATCTGAAACTGTAGTCTGATACAGTAATCTGAAACTGTAGTCTGATACAGTAATCTGAAACTAATCTGAAACAGTAATCTGAAACTGTAATCTGAAACTGTAATCTGAAACAGTAATCTGAAACTGTAGTCTGAAACAGTAATCTGAAACAGTAATCTGAAAGCCATACCCTGCATTGCTTTCAGATTACTGCTTCTCATCATAACCACTGGCTATCAAGATGCAAGCGTTTGTGTGTGTGTGTTCCACCTGTAGGGCGCTTCTTGACACACCTGATATACCTGTCAGCTTTCTAGCTGACAGATTTATTAGGCTATTTACTGCTTACAGATTCCTCGGTAAATGGAAATTAGCGACGGTATTCTGGATCCTGTAAATTACGACATTTGTTCTTATATTACATAGTTAAATAAGATTGTTTGGGGATTTATGAAGTTTTAGCGTTTGTGTGGCACCTTACGCCTGCTGTCCCTGTTCACCTAGCAGTAAGTAGGTACCTGGGTGTTAGGCACCTTACACCTGCTGTCCCTGTTCACCTAGCAGTAAGTAGGTACCTGGGTGTTAGGCACCTTACACCTGCTGTCCCTGTTCACCTAGCAGTGAGTAGGTACCTAGGTGTTAGGCACCTTACACCTGCTGTCCCTGTTCACCTAGCAGTAAGTAGGTATCTGGGTGTTAGGCACCTTACACCTGCTGTCCCTGTTTACCTAGAAGTAGGTACCTGAGTGTTAGTCATCTTATACCTGGTGTCCCTGTTCACCTAGCAGTAAGTAGGTACCTGGGTTTTAATCACCTTACACCTGCTGTCCCTGTTCACCTAGCAGTAAGTAGGTACTTGGGTGTTAGTCTTCTTATACCTGCTGTCCCTGTTCACCTAGCAGTATCTGAATGTTAGGCACCGTACACCTGCTGTCCTTGTTTACCTAGCAGTAAGTACCTGAGTGTTAGTAATCTTACACCTGCTGTCCCTGTTTACCTAGCAGTAAGTAGGTGCCTGGGTGTTAGTCGATTGGTGTGGGTGGCATCCTGGGGGACAAGATTTAAGGACCACAGTGAAAGTAAGATAGAGTCCTCCATGACGCACTGCCTTTCTTGGATTATCTTGTGTGGCTAACCCTCCGGGGTTAAAAATCCGAATAAAATCTTACCACTTCTGTCCTCTCTTACTGGACCTCCCAGAGCTGCTGTTCCCTTGGTCAGCAAGACACCTTCTTGGTATTGGAATCTTAATTACAACGTTATCTTTCCCCTGGATGGTGTTATCTTACCTAGGATGGTGTTATTCTTACCTGGGATGGTGTTATCTTACTTGGGATTGTGTTATTCTTACCTGGGATGATGTTATCTTACCTGGGATGGTGTTATCTTACTTGAGATTGTTATTCTTACCTGAGATGGTGTTATCTTACCTGGGATGGTGTTATCTTACTTGAGATTGTGTTATTCTTACCTGAGATGGTGTTATCTTACCTGGGATGGTGTTATCTTACTTGGGATTGTGTTATTCTTACCTGGGATGGTGTTATCGAAGAGGAATCCCAATCCTCCTCCAATGAACATGGGCGTCTGGAGAAGCACCGTCAGGATCTGGTCTACTTCAGCAGACCCCGTCTGTATGATACCAGGATTCTTCTCCACCCACTGACACACACACATATTATGTTGATTAACATCCTCTATTATTATTATTATTATTATTATTATTATTATTATTATTATTATTATTGTTGTTGTTGTAATACCGTTGGTAGAATTACCGACAATATGTTAGGTATACGGACAAAAGTGCAACTAATGTGACATTTTATTGTGGCAACGTTTCGCTCTCCAGGAGCTTTGTTAAGCTTGACAAAGATCCCGAAGAGCGAAACGTTGCCACAATAAAATGCCGCATCAGTTGCACTTGTATCCTTTTACCTAGCATTATTATTATTGTAATTATTCGAGGCCTGGTCACAGACCGGGTCGCGGGGGCGTTGACCCCGCGACCCTCGCCAAGTATACTTCAGGTATTATTATCATCATTATTATTATCATTATTACTATTGTTTATTATTGTACTGTAATGAGTGTGTAATCTTTCATAATATCGAACGTAAAGTGACCTTGCTGTTGCCACTGTACGGTATACTGTAAAGTTTAATATTATCAGTTCCTGATACACGTTGTATCAGGTTGTATCAGTATAGAGTGAAGCAGTTCCTGACCTTGGGCAGAGCCATTCCGAAGAAGATGGAGAAGCCAATGACGAAGAGGTTCCTGGAGGAGGCTAGGTCGACGTACTGGAGTGGCGAGAGGCCCACGGAGGTCACCATGGCAAACATCACCACGAACACTCCTGCCATAACGGGCTCCGGGATGGTGATAAACACAGCGCCGAACTTAGCGAAGACTCCGCTGAAGATGAGGATAATGGCGCTGTACTGGACCACTCGACGGCTCCCTACCTGTCAGTAATATAATGATGTATAGTCAGATATGACGATGTACAGTGAAATATAATGATGTACAGTGAAATATGACGAGGTACAGGGAAATATAATGATGTACAGTGAAATATGACGAGGTACAGGGAAATATAATGATGTACAGTGAAATATGACGAGGTACAGGGAAATACAATGAGGTACAGTGAAATACAATGATGTACATGAAATATAATGACTTACAGTGAAATATAGATATACAGTGTGATGTAATAGGGATATATAATAATATACAGTGAGTTATAATGATACTCAACAAAATATGATGATATATTGGGAAATATAATGATGTACAGGGAAATATAATGATGTACAGTGAAATATATTGATATACAGTGTGATGTAATAGGGATATATAATATACAGTGAGTTATAATGATACTCAACAAGATATAATGATATACTGAGAAATATGATGGAAGATAGTGCAGTATAATGACATATATAAAGATTCAAAGTGATATTTAATGAAATAGAGGGATATAATGATATAGTGACGTACGATGAGGCAAGTATAACGTTTCAAGTATGTGAGTTACAGCTCCTGGTCCTGGTGAAAGTATGTACACAATGCTTGTATCTATTTGTGGCTTCTGGGCCCCTTGCGGGTGTTGAGTAACAGTTCCTGGACTCCTGGAGGGTGTTGAGTAACAGCTCCTGGACTCCTAGAGGGTGTTTAGTAACAGTTCCTGGGCCCCTGGAGGGTGTTGAGTAACAGCTCCTGGAACCCTGTAGGATGTTGAGTAACAGCTCCTGGGCTTCTGTAGGGTGTTGAGCAACAGCTGCTGTGTCAATATAGCTACTGAATTCCCTATACGTATACTTGTGTAGTATATTGTAGATCGTATCATCCATGTATATATTTAGGCTCCCTGCTCAGCTAGGCCCAGTGACTAGCATATGTGACGTCACATGATGCCGCATGTGAGTGCTGGGCTCCCGGCCTTTCCCGGCAGTTCACTGTTAGACCTATCAGGCATCAACAGGCAGTCTGGGCTCCCCCCTCTCACACTCTGCTAATATAAGTGTTACCACCCAACGACTTGTGTTTAACTCCAACCATCACATCTCCACGAACCCTCTCAACAGGTGGACCACCTTGGTAACACTAATGACACTCACCTTGGTAACACTGATGACACCCTCACCTTTTTAACAATGATACCCTCACCCCTTGGTAACACTGATGGCACCCTCACCCCTTGGTAACACTGATGGCACCCTCACATTGGTAACAATGATGACACCCCTCACTTTGGTAACACTGATGACACCCCTCACTTTGGTAACACTGATGACACCCCTCACCTTGGTAACACTGATGACACCCCTCACCTTGGTAACACTGATGGCACCCTCACATTGGTAACAATGATGACACCCCTCACTTTGGTAACACTGATGACACCCTCATCTTGGTAACACTGATGACACAGCCTCAATTTGGTAACACTGATGACAAAACTTCACCTTGGTAATACTGATAACACCCCATCTTGGTAACACTGATGACAACCTCACCTTGTTAATACTGATGACACAACCTCACCTTGGTAACACTGATAACACCTTCACCTTGGTAACACTGATGGCACCCCTCACTTTGGTAACACTGATGACACCCCTCACTTTGGTAACACTGATGACACTTTCACCTTGGTAACACTGATGACAACCTCACCTTGGTAACATTGATAGCACCCTCACCTTGGTAACACTGATGACACAACTTCACCGTGGTAACACTGATGACACAACCTCACCTTGATGACAAAGATAATACCCTCACATTGGTGACACTGATGACCTCACCTTGGTAACCCTGATGACACAATCTCACGTTGGTAACACTGATGACACCTCGCCTTTGTAACACTGATGACATTCTCACCTTGGCAACACTGATGAAACAACCTCACCTTGGTAACACTGATCACACGCCTTCACCTTGGTAACACTAATGACACTATCACTTTGGTAACACTGATGACACAACCTCACCTTCATAACACTGATGACACAACCTCACCTTGGTAACACTGATGACACAACCTCAATTTGGTAACACTGATGACAAAACTTCACCTTGGTAATACTGATAACACCCCATCTTGGTAACACTGATGACAACCTCACCTTGTTAATACTGATGACACAACCTCACCTTGGTAACACTGATGACACAACCTCACCTTGGTAACACTGATGACACAACCTCACCTTGGTAACACTGATGGCACAACCTCACCTTGGTAACACTGATGACACCCTCACCTTGGGAACACTGATGACAGAACTTCACGTTAGTAACACTGATGGCACAACCTCGCCTTGGTAACATTGATGACACCCTCACCTTGGTAACACCGATGACACCCTCACCTTGGTAACACTGATGACACAACCTCGCCTTCATAACACTGATGACACAACCTCACCTTCATAACACTGATGACACAACCTCACCTTGGTAACACTGATGACACAACCTCACCTTCATAACACTGATGACACAACCTCACCTTCATAACACTGATGACACATCCTCACCTTGGTAACACTGATGACACAACCTCACCTTCATAACACTGATGACACAACCTCACCTTGGTAACACTGATGACACAACCTCACCTTCATAACACTGATGACACAACCTCACCTTGGTAACACTGATGACACCCTCACCTTGGTAACATTGATTACACCTCTTACTTTGGTAGCACTGATAACACATCCTAACCTTGGTAACACAGATGACACAACCTTTGGTAACACTGATGACACCCTCACCTTGGTAACACTGATGACATCTCTCACCTTGGTAACACTGATGACACCCTCACCTTGGTAACACTGATGACACCCTCACCTTGGTAACATTGATCATTCATCGCTGGACCTCTGTGGTGAGCAGACCTGCGATTGTCTGCTGGCCGTTGGAGCAAGCTGTGATTTTCTCACCATGGTGAAGCAAAGAAGGAGGGGGATTAACACTGTATAGAGCTGGTGCATGGGGCTGTGACTACCCAAACAGGTTCTGTTATCCTCTCGGACATCATCATGGAGTGGCTGATAAAGAACTTTATGGAGTAGCACTTAATGGGGCCTGTCGGGTCTTTAAGCTCCGATCAGCAAGTGTCTTGAGCGGCTGGTGGAAAAATTTCAAGATGGTTGTGTGGTTGTTAGCCCAGCTGTCATAGTGAGGCTCATTGATGTGTCTTGTTATTTCACGTGAGTTAAGGTGCGTAACGTGCCTTTTGAGGCCAATGAGACTGATTTAGGGGGTGTGTTCAGCAGCTATGGAACTGTGCATGTGGCGACCGTTGGGAAGTGGACGGAGGGCACATATGCCGGCCTCCTTGAAGGAACTTTCTCGCTGATGATGACTTTAAAGCACCCCATCCCATCATACGTAGTGATGAGTGACTTTCGTACACAAGTGATGGTTTCCTATGTGGGGCGGTGCCGCACTTGTCGCCTTTGTGGGGCGTATGACCACACTGCAGCGCAATGTGGTCGTCAAATGTGGAAGCAGGATGCGGAGCGTCATCCCATGGCAGAATCCGTCCAGGAGGTGGCGGTTGTGCCTGAGTCGGGTGCACGTCCGAAGACGTCATTGTGGAGTGAAGAGGTGGAGCGGGAGGAGCTGCTTGAGGGGTCTTGTGTGACTCTACCTGGGGAATCTTCCTCAATTTTCCCGGTTATGCTGGGTGTGGAAGGCGGGCCACCCATGGAGGAGAAAGTGGTGGAGGACACGTTCACGTCTGTGCTGCAGGGATTATTGGGAACGCCTGGTGTGGCGGACGAGGGGCTTGGAGAGACCCTCGGCAATGTGTCTTGCATGCGGTCGCAGGATGTGGAAGAGTTGGTTGACGGGCAGGCCACCGGGGTGAACGTAGTTACCGTGGAGGTGGTGGTTCATAACGAAGGGCCTCTGGAGGTGGCTATGGAGGCAGAGAGTGGGTCACGCAAACGGGTGGTGGTGCTGTCGGACTCTGATGACGTCCTCACCCCAGCGCAGAGGCCTGGCAAGAAGGTGTGGGCGGAGGTGGCACGGGGTGGCCTTAAGGGGCCCAGGGGCCCAGGGGCCCAGGGGCAGCTAAAGGAGATCTTCAGGTGTCTGGTAGTGAGCATGGTAGCAGACGCCGGTAGGCGTCTAGTGGAGGATCAATGTCAAAAGGGCACAAGGTACGGCCGGCTTGAAGTGTGTCTCAGTGAATGTAAATGGGTTGCGTAACAGAGTGAAGTGTATGTGGTTCTTGGATTTTCTCCGTAGGTATGGGGTGGATGTGGCTTTTGTGCAAGAGCACAATTACAAAGCTGTGGATGGGGGAGAGGGTGGCGCTAGTGCACGTCTATGGGCTGGCAGAGGGGGATGGGCATGTGAAGAATGCGTTTGTGAGGGATGTTTTGGTGTATCACCTCCGGTCACTCCCCCCTGTGGAGGTTGTGGGGGGTAACTGGAATTGTGTGGTGCACATGAAAGATGTGGAGCCTTGAGGGGCGGGGTTTTGCTCTTTTGTACTAGGGGATCTTTTGCGGAGGGGTGGGGTTGTAGGATGTGGCTAAGGGTGAAGCATGGGAGGTGGAGCACACGTTTGTGTGGGGAGGGTATGCCGCTCGATTGGACTGACTGTACGTAATGCGGACTGCACGGGTAGAGAGGGTGTGTGGTGGAGGTATCATATTCAGATCAACGGGCGGTTTTCGTGGAATTGGGGTGGGATGGGTTGCTAAGGAGGCATAGGAGTTTTTGGAAATTGAACGTTAGGCTCCTTGCAGAAGGGGAGGGGAGGGAGGGGTTTGCAGAAATGTGGAAGGAGTTGTGGTCAGGGGTGGAGGCTGTTGGGGATTTGTTGGCGTGGTGGGATGGAGTGGCGAAAGGGAGGATTCGGGAGTATTATGTTCGACAGGGCAAGGGGGAGGCTCGAATGACTTGGGCTTATACTGTATTTAGA